AGGGGGAGGGCGAGGCGGAGGCGGATGCGCTGGGGAGGAGGAGGAGGTGGTGCCGGTGCATCGCCGATTCATCGCCGATGCGGTGCGATCCTTCGACCCCGGCTACTCGGACCCCATCTAGGAGGCCTCTACACACTCATGCGGTTCCAAAAGATTCCCCAGGGGAAGGTACTTTGAGACGGGCGATGCCGATTCCCCAAGTCCTCTCGGCTTCGCCCACAAGGTCGCCGCATGACGCATTCATTCTTACTTGTGCAAGTCTCGACTGCAACGCCGCGGGCTCAGAAGTCCCTTCCGCTAGCGTTCGTTTTGAGGCAACGTATCGACGGGGTCGGCTACACGTAGGAGTGACCTTTCGCTGGAATCACCTTGAGTTCTAGGCCTCCAAGATGGGTTCCGAGTAGATGGTGTCGGAGGATCGCGCTGCATCGCCGATGCATCGGCGATGCGGCTCGCTGCGGAGCCCGGCTTTCTCCACGCCGACAGCGCCGATGCCACCGCCGACGTCGCCGATGCATCGCCGATGTATCGGCGATGCGGCGCGATCTTCCGCCCCCATTCTCTCGGACTTATAGGAGGTCTCTATGAGACGTTGCATCTTCGGGGGACCTCGCCTGTTCCCAAAGTTGGTGTCCTTCCTTGTGCCCGACGCGGGTTCGATGCGGACTCGACGCGGATTTGGCGTGAATTCAACGCGGATTCGACACGAGGTCGATACGGATCGGACGAGTGACATGTATTCGACACGGATTCGACGCGGATAGGGGCGCGATGGGACAGACAAGGTCCCCCGAGGATGCAGCATAAACCTTTCGCCAGAGTGACCTTGAGTGCAGGCCCAGGGGGGGCTCCCGATCGCTGAATGCTATGTGACAGTAGCGGCTTGTACCCCTGGTGGTGTCCCAAAGGGCCCCCACCCAGGCCGCGCACCAAAGGCCACTCTTGGCTAGGGTCACTCTTGCGTGTAGCCGAAGGGGGGCGTCGGGTGGGTGGCAATGGGGGGTGACCCAAAGAGGGGGGGTGAGAAGTGGGACCTCAAGGGCCCTTTTCTCCACCCCCGCACTGGGGGAGCCACTCCCCACCTACCACCCGCCCGAGAGAGGGTCGACCATGCGTAAGAGTGACATTTCGCAGGAGCGGCCTCTGGTGCGGGCATACATCCAGTCGGGGTTGCTTAGTAGGTCGACCCTGCTAAGTCAAGAGTACCCTTGTGTTCTGTGTTTTTCGACCCGTGGCGTCTCGCGTGTCATCTCTAATCCACTCCTGCCCTTTTCCCCCACCCAGCTCCCCTCCCCAGGGGGGTCGCTCCGTCGGCCAGCAGAGAGGGGTCCGACGCGGATCGGAGAAATCCCGGCGGACCTCCGATTAAGTCGGGCATGTCCCTCCACGCGGGGAATATTCAAAAGTAGTCAAAATGTAGTCTGGGGACGACTTGTTGAGCATTTGTTTGCTGTTTTTGTTTATTTGCCGAATATTTTTCTGCAATCTTCGCCCCAAAGGCCCGCCTGCAGGGGGGGACATGCCCGACCCTGACCTCCGAGTTGTCGTCCTCGCCTGCTCCGCGAGAGGAGCCCTTCGGCGAGCCTGGGCGGCGGGAGTCGCAGGGCGCCTCTCCGCGTCCCAAGACGGGATCCGGAGCAGGGTCGCCCCCCGCCGCACCGGGGGCGGCCGACGCGGGCTCGCCGGGGGCCAGGCTCGGGGGCAGCGGTAGGGGGGGGGGGCAGAGGCACAGGGTTGAGTCGGGCATGTCCGTGTGCAGGGAGGATATCCGGGAATTGGAGACACATGATCTGGTGACGATTGCTCGTTTTTGTGTGAGGCTCATTTTCTTCCAGGGCCCGCCTGTAGGAGGACAGGGCCGACCTGAGCATACGGGGGGATGCATCGCGACGCATCGCTGATATCAGGGCACGCTGCTCAACGACATACGTGGGCGATGTATCGTCGATGCATAAGGCTGTCTTCATCGACGGTGTACTATAAAATGAACACGTGATTCATTAGCCGAGCAATTATTGCTGTATTTGTTTACGTCGCGCGTTACAGCACATAATTCCTAAACATCGCTGCACTTTAACGCAACTTGTCATTGGTATCGACGATACATGGGCGATGTATCGGCCATTCGAGGTCGATGCATCCCCGCTATTCATATCCCCATTCCCCCCATCGTGGCCCCTCACAGGCCGGGCGCGGATGCTGGCAAGCCAGCGGGCAAGCCTGCGGCCAAGCAGTTCTGCAGGGCGCTCACCAGGGAGCTCGACGCTTGCCGAGACGAGTACGAGGTGGACAAGCTGCTCCGGCTCGTGCAGAAGGTCACGAACTCCACCAGCTCCGACACTTTCAGCACCAGCGGCGCCCAGGCCTACCGCTTCCGTGAGGCCCTCAGGCCCCTGCGCGACAGTTCGGTGGGCGCGGCGCTGGGCTACTCTCACCGCCTTTGGGTGAACAAGGCCATCGAGAAGCAGGTTCAGAGGAGGCGGCAGCAGATCGCGAGCGGCGGGGTGGGCAAGGTGGAGGGCGTAATCGGGCTCGCGCGCAGCGGCGACCAGCTGTCTTCCGCGCGGGAGAAGCGGTCGTCGCGCGTCACCTGGCAGCTGCGCGTGGAAGCCGCCGGCCTGCCGACGGATGCGTCGGAGGCCGAGTCCACGAGGGGCGGGGACGCCGCGCCGCAGGCCGCAGCAGAGAAGGGCGCCGTTGGGTCTGCCGTGCTCAAGAAAAACATGCGGGGGAGCCACGACGAGCCAGACTCGTCCGAGAGAGGGGGTGTCCAGCGGTTCCGGCGGCGCCAGCGAAGCAGCACCGCGAGCAATGCCACGGCCGACTTTGGGCTCGAGGGCGAGGGACCCAACGATGACGAAGCCTCGCAGGCGTATCTGCAGAACGCCTTCAAGATAGGGCCGCTGAAGGGTAGCGAGGCGCTCCGCATCTGGAGCAAGGCGTTCGAGGTTCTGAAGGTGGATGGCGAAGTACACCACACCGACCTCAGGCGGGCCCTCGATATGGCCGGCTTCCTGAACGCAGATCAGGCGTGCATCGACGCGGCCAAGGAGAAAGTGACGAAGTGGTCGGCATTGAGCGCGGCGCAGTTCAACAGATTCGCAGTCGTCTTCGGGGAAGAAGACGAGAAGTTGCAGGACAAGATGTTCGCCAGCTTCGACGCCGACAGCTCAGGGCAGATAGACAGGTGCGAGTTGACAAGCTTGCTGGAACACTTTGGCGTCATTCCAATGCGGCACATCCTGGACGAGGTGCTTAGCGAGGTTGACGAGGACGGCTCTGGCAACATCGGCCTTCACGAGTGCAGGAAGGTCTTTGAGATCCTCCGCATGCGTGAAGGCTTCTCACGCGAAGAATTCGAGAACCTCACCGGCCTGTTCAAGAGGCTGGACATCGATGGCTCTGGCGAGATGGACAAGCGAGAGTTGACGGTCTTGCTCGAGTACCTCGACTACCACCTGGACGCGGAAGAGCGGGACAGAATAATGAAAGAGGTTGACGCCGACAACAGCGGAGAACTTAGCGAGTTCGAGTTCCTGCTATTCATGAGGAAATGCCGCCACATCGAAATGAGGAACCTCTCGACGGCATTCAACAGCGTCGATCCTGAAGAGGACGGGATGATCTGTTTTGGCCAGCTGATTCAGAAGAGCAACATTCGAGACGAACATAAACTTTCGGAAGGCCGCGCTATTTTCCCTGGTTCGGCGCTGGAGCCACCCCCCCTCGCGCGCAATACGCGCGACAGGGGCACCGCCGGAGGCGCCGCCAAGGGGGGCTCCCGGCGCCGACACCGGGCGTCCACGCAGATCTCCGAACATTTATGTGTTCTCATCGGTTTTCGAAAGTAGGTTTTTGGTTGGATTTCCAGAACCCAATCTACGTCAAGCGCCTTCCTACTACACGAGTCGACCTGCTTTTGCTGCGTTTCGTGACTCTCTGGGCGGGTCCGAACCCAACCTGCTCTATCCGCCTTCCTGCTTCATGTTTCTACCTGTCTCTTCCGACCGATGAGTATGTGGGTTCTTGCTCTTCTACGATCCAAGCTTTCACGAAGATGGGGTACGAGCCCAATGCCGACGCCACGTGGGAGGCGGCCGTGGCTGCGGGCGTGCCCAGCAAGGAGGCCAACCTGGACATCAGTGACTTCTGGCAGGTGCTCACGGAGTGCCGGAAGCGGGAGTGGTTCCTCAGCGACGAGCTGCGGCAGATCCAGGAGGCCCACGAGCGACGACAATATCCATACCCGTGCCCTCGCGGTCTCGATACCGAAGTCCGATTCCGTAGGTACTCGATTCCGTGCCCACATCTCCGACGGTCTGCTCTTCGAGTCGGGGCTCTCCTGGATTCTGGTCTTCGGGGGCCCGCTCTTGCGCCCTGGACAGCTGGAAATGGATCCGGGACGAAACCGTACACCACACGCCTGGGGAAGGGGTCGTGTGTTCCGGGGCCCGGGAGCGAAAAACACGTGTAACGTCGGATGGCTGGTTGGAGGCACGCTCCGCGTGTGGGGCATCCGTGAAGAGCCGCCTGGAATGCAGTTGGGGCACGACCGAGAAGTCTGTGGAAGCCATACTCACAAACACACACACACATGACCAGCCTGGAACATATCCCTATCCCTATGCTGGGCACATCCTCATCACGATGCCAATCTTAGGGGTCCCCTTCTTTTTTGAGGGCGGATCCCTAAGATTGTCATCGCCTCGTGGCGTGTCAATCTCAGGGATAGGGATACGCTCGAGGCTGGCAAGTGGGGCACGGCCGAGAAGTCTGCGGGAACCATACTCGCAAACACACACACGCACACACCTGGGGGAGTGGTCGGGCGCTCCGAGGCCGCGGCTCGAACAGCACACAAACACAGACACAGACACAGACACAGACACAGACACAGACACAGACACAGACACAGACACAGGCACAGGCACACACACAAAACACAGACACAGACACAGACACAGACACAGACACAGACACAGACGCAGACACAGACACAGACACAGACACACATACACACTCACACACACACACGCACACGCACACACACACACACGCACACACACGCACACGCACACACACACACTCACACTCACACTCACACTCACACACACACACACACCGTCGGACGTCTCCGTGGATGTACGCTCCGCACGTGGGTTCTCCGCGAGAAGAGCCGCCCGGAAGGCATTGGGTCGCGGGGGGCCCCGAGGCCGTGGATGCGGCAGTTTCGCGTCGTGTCGGCTGGCGGCGACCCCGCCGCCTGGCTGGATGTTGAACGCCAGATGTTGAACGGTCTGACGTTTCGGCAATGGCCGATCTTCAAGGTTGAGCGATCCCCAGGGTGTCCCGAAGCAACGCCGAAGTCGAAGCACGGCACGAGCATGCCGCATGGGTACGTATCCTTCCCGCGCGCGGGAGGCATTTGAGGAAGTCGACCCGGAGGGGAAGGGCGAGATAGTGATCGCCCAGATCGACAGAGCCCTCGTCGCGCTGGGGCTGTCGCTGAGGTCCGAGCTGCTCCTGTACCTCATGGGGAAGGTCGACCAGGACAGCTCCGGGCGGCTGAGCCAGATGGAGTTCAGGAAGCTCATCAGGATGTTCCAGAACGGGCAGTCGCAGCTCGCGCGCGCGACCTTCGAGGACTGCGTCGGGCCGGGCAGCCACGTGCTCGGCACTCCCGACTCCTGGCGCGCCCTGGCCTCCCTGGGGCTCGTGGCAGACGATGCGGAGGGCTTCGGCAGAGTCCAGGCGCTCGGCGACCTCGACGTACGAGCCTTCCTGAACGCCGCGCGCGACCTCGAGAGGGAGCGCCAGCTGTACCGCCAGCAGAACAGCGGCTTCTGCGAGCAGGAGGTGGACGACCTCGCCCTGCGCTTCGAGCAGATGGACGCGGACCGCAGCGGCGCGCTCGAGAGCCGCGAGCTCGTCGGCCTCATCGAGGAGCTCCTGCCGGGCGTGGCCACCTCGCTCGAGAACCGGCCGCTGCTCATGCGGATGATGGAGGAGCCGGGGGGCGCCCGGATACCGTGGCCGGGGCAATCAATTCTCCAAGATTGCATGCTTCCCTCCTCTTCTTATTGTTCTTCTTCTTTCTCTTCTTCTTCTTCTTCTTCTTCTTCTTCTCCTTTTTCCCATGCGTTCCCTGGCCCTCAGTGGGCCCTGGAAGCGACAGGGCCGTTTTTAGACGGTTTCGCTTGGCCGTTATTGTTGCATGTTCCGGCGCCGTTTCTTCTCCGGCGCTGTCGCCGTTTCTTGCTGGCTCCGTTCCGGTTCCCCTTCCGCAGCCGCTTGTTCGCCGTTTCTGGTTGCTGTTTTTGTTGGTATTATTTTTGTGGTTGTGAATATTTGTATTGTCATCCGTATTATCATGAGTATTGTTGTAACTATTAGTTATGCGTGTTACTTATATGTTTGTGTTTGTGTTTGCCGTTTTCACTTCCAAGAGACACTGCTTCGGAAGCGATGAGAAGAAGCAAGCAAGCAATCAAGACACTGCCCTGCCTTTTCCTGGGGCCCACGGAGACGGCCCCCCCTTCTCGTCCGCGCAGGCACGCCTTGAGGGCCACGCGCCATGGCTTGGCATGCCCCACCTCGCGGCCCCCCCTACCGCCCCTTGTGCAAATGGCGGTGGCCAATGGGGAGGAGGAGGAGGAGGAGGAGGAGGAGGAGGAGGAGGAGGAAGAGGAGGAGGAGGAGGAGGAGGAGTGGGAGGGAGGAGGGAGGAGGAGGAGGAGGAGGAGGAGGAGGAGGAGGAGGCCCCGGGGAACGGCAACGCTTGGGCGAATAGGGAGGGGATCATGGAGGGGGCCATAATATCTCTCCAGATTTCATGGCCCCTCTTTCTTATTTCAATGCGTTCCCGGCCCCCCCAGGTCCGCGCACGTTCCTTGGGCCATGATTTGCACCCCTCGTGGACACCCCCTCTTGGACGCCCTCAGAGGAGGCCCGGGGGGGCGGGGGCGCCCTCACCGAGAGCGACAAGCTCGCCTGCCGCGTGGCCGGCATCAGGCCCAGCTCAACCCAGATCGAGCTGAATTTCACGCAGTTCTTGAAGCTCCTCTCGTTGGTTCGCACTTTCAAGCTGGACAGGTTCTCGATGACCAGACAACGGCATACACCTAATGTCTCGGAGCTCCGCGCGAATTTCTTGCGTCTGCCTTGGAGCTCCCTGGCGGCGCCTCTGGCGCCACCCTTGGCGCGATCCGCGTGCCAGGGTGTCCAGCGCTGATCCAAGAGAGCCGCGCGGTCTCTCGAGAAAGTTTATGTTATGAAGTTGTTGTTCTTCCAGGCTCTACAAAGAGGAGCAGCGAGTGATCAAGGAGTGTGACCTCACCTTCCAGGAGGTCCAACAGTTTCGTGAGCTGTTCCTGGAGAGTGCCTCGGGCGACGGGTGCATGACGATTAAGGACATCTTGTTCCTCTTCCGGAACATATGCCCTCTCGGCAGCAGAAATAAGGCGGAGCTCCTGGAGCACGTCGAGGACGTCGTCGGTCCCAGAACCCCAGGCTGCGACGTGGCCATCAACTTCGCCGAGCTGATGGTGCTCATGGGGAGGCTGCGCGACACCAACTTCGGAGGAATCCGCGACAGGTTCTTCTCGTGAGGTGCTGAGGGGTTCGTAGCGCCCAGGCGCTGCAGAGAGGCCTCACGTGCGGGGTGCGGGCACCTCTCCCTCTATGCCTCCTAGCTGGGGTCGGAGTCGCAGATGGGGTCGGAGGATCACCCCGCATCGCCGATGCATCGCCGAAGCGGCTCGATGTGGAGCTTGATTTGCTCCACGTCTTCGTCGCCGATGCATCGCCCACGTCGCCGATGCATCGTCGATGCGTCGGCGATGCGTCGACGATGCGTCGGCGATGCGGTGCAATCCTCCGACCCCATCTGCTCGGACCCCGTCTGGGAGACCCCTGCTGCCCGCCTTGGTCCTCCCCCTCCCTGCTCCTCCCGTCCCGCGTGCGCTCCGCCAGCGGCTCGGCAACTGATCCGAGCACCTGCCTCGGCAACTGCGCTCTTCTGCAGCCCGAGCGCCGGCGCTATCGCTGCCGCCCTGCTCGCTCTGAAGGGTTGCTCCGCGGGGCGCGCCGCGTTGTTCCAGATGCGGCTCTTTCTCGCTCCCCTCTTGCCCGTTCTCCTCACCTTCCTCCTCCCCCTCCTCCTCCTCCTCCTCCTCTTCCTCCCTCGCTGGCTGCGGGGATGGGTGCCCACAAGCGCACACCGATCATACCATGCAGTGTCCAAACAGGGTCTGACTTTGCATACAGCTGCGTGTAGTTGACCGCGGTCGCGTGTTCAGACCCAGTTGCTGGCATGCACGGCCATGTAATTTTAAATGTTGTGCTCCACAGGACTTGGACGACAGTGGGATCACGTTTGTGGGACATGCGGGGAAGCGCTGGATGTATACCACCCGCTTGTCACGGGCAGCGGGTGCGTTCAATGCAGAGGTTGGCACGGTCCCGCCTGGCCGTTCTGTGGAAAGTTCCCATCGAGCGACCGCATGGTGGTTTTCTGAAATCTCGTCCTTCTGCTCCCCGCTTGCCTCGCCTCCGCCTCGCGATGCTGCTGCGGCTGCTTTTCCATGTGTTTCCTTTCTGGGTTTGTTTTTTCATTCAGCCATTGAGGCGGCACGGATTAGGCGATGGCAGATTGCGGACAGCCTGCAGAGCGAGAAGTTTGAATTCACAATGCAGCTATCCAGCTGGCGACGGGCCAGCTGGACAAGATGCTGGTCGCGCGGGACTTGCTTGCTCTTTGGTCACACATTGTAGCATTTGATTCATTTTTTGGCATTGTGCACGATCCTGTTGAGAATGGGGGTACACCGTTGTCTGGTTTTGAAAGTAGTTCGATGCACGCCATTCGTGAGACAAGTGACCCTGATCTCTGAAAGGTTGCTTCCCAGCGTATGCTGTCAACCTTTGCATGACTAGTTCAAAGTATGCGGTTATGGTAGTTGTCCTCCTCGTGGGATGATGCACGATCTCCCAGTTATCCTGTGGCCTTCGGCTCATCCCGCCGTGCCTGGGTCGTGGTCCAGAGACGGTTTGGAGACCTCCTGGAGTCTCATTTTGGACGTGTTTGAAGCGACTTTGGGGCTTCCAGGGCCTCTTGCGGGCTGGCAGGCTTGAGTCCGTCGTATGGGAGGGGAGGCGCCCAGCGGTACGGCGGTGGCGCGTCGTTTGTTAGACTTCTCTTGGGCACGTCCTTGAGGCTTCCTGGGGCCCTCCTTGGAAGTCCCGGGCGCCGTTTTGCGGCGATCCTGGGGGCCTCGCCTCGAGACAGAATTCGTGATGGTGCCGAGGGTGTTGGACGATGTTGTTTCGTGGGCTTCCCCCAGGGGCCTGCCAGGCGGCCCTAGAGAACCCCAGGACGGCTCGGGGACGGGCCCCACGGCAACATCTTGGGGCATGCTGGCAGGGCTGATTCCGAGCCACGCTTCCAGGGCCTCGGAGCCTCGAGAACGCCCAAGAGTTTCGGCCCAAGAGTACCCAGCAAGCCCAGATCTGATGCTTTGGAATGACGTGCACTCGGCGCTACCCCAGCATACTAATACTATGTGTGCGTCGCCCCCCCAGTGGCGACGCGCGCACCGAGAAATCTTGTCTTATATGCGTCGTGGCGATCGCTTTCTGGCCACACCGCTCGGGTAACGAGATATAGCATATATGTATATATATGCACATAAATGTGTATTATACACATATCATACGTATATAATAAGATGGGTAAACTATATGTTCGGGTCGGACGCGCGCCTCCAATCATCTATATATATATATATATATGTATATGTATACAAGTGGCACGTGTGTGCCCAGGCTCATACAAAAAACTTAAAGGTCGTTTGAAGCAGGAAGACACCATGACGGCGGGATCGAAGATGGAGAAGGGGAAGCTGGCGCGGCGCCGCCAGGGCGTGCCCAAGAGAAGGGGAAGAGGCAGGAGGTGAACGCAGAAGAATTTAAGATCGAGAGAAAGCCCCCCCAAAGGATTGGGGATCGAGCAGCGATGTCAACGTTGCGAGGATGTCTCAGGCGAAAGTGGCCTGAACACCTCAGCTCAGGGCATCTCGGAACCCAGAGTTGCGAGGACGTTTCAGGCGAAAGTGGCCTGAACACGTCAGTTCAGAGCATCCCGGAACCCAGAGTTGCGAGGGTGTCGCAGGCGAAAATGGCCAGACCACCACGGGACAGGGCATCTCCGAATCCAGAGTTGCGAGGATGTCTCAGGCGAGGTTGCCACATCTTGCGATGTTTGTACCACTGGCCCCCAGGAAGCCTCAGGAGGCCCAACCAGGATGCCGGAACATATACCAGGAGGCCACAGGAGGGTCGTCTGGGATCGAGGTTCCGAGGATGTCCATGGAGGCCTCAGGAGGCCCGGCCAGGAGGCCGCAAGAGGCTCCAGGAGGCCGAAGGAGAGTACCTCTGGGCTCGAAGTTGCGAGGATGTCGATGGAGGCCGCAAGAGGCTCCAGGAGGCCCGAGCAAGAGACCGCAAGCCCAAGGAGGCCCCAGGAAGCCCTAGGAGGTTTCAGGAGGCCCTCAGGGGGCTCCGAGGCGGGGTCTGGGGTACCAGAAGGTACGGCGGGGCTCGTTCTTCGGAGGATGTTTCAGGCAAAACCGCCATTCTCTGAGAATCGGGGTCACAATCATTGAAGTCACAATGTGTGTTTTGAAGGTTTTATGTTAGAATGTTGACATTCCCATTTTGGACCCTGACGTCACGATCTGTGTAAGGGGTGCCACCGATTTTCAGACTTTCGAGGATGTCCCTAGCGAAACGGACAGAAAATTCGCGAACGCGGCGCGTACGCATTAATCCCTCAGAGCTCTTCGGAGAGGTGCGCATGACAACATATATATATATATATATAAACACACAGGGAGAGAGAGAGAGAGAGAGAGAGAAAGAGAACGAGAGAGAGAGAGGGAGATTCGTACGTCTCTGCGCGTCCCATGTATGACTGCCCCGCAATGGCAGATGACGGCGAGGGCGCGCCCCGGCCGTCTCGCGGGGGCTCGGAGGCTCGAGCGCCCTGTGTGAAGGAGGCTGACGTGTGCGTCGATGTCTCTGAAACCATCGGCCCGTCGCGTGCGCCGACGCTGCTGAAGAGCAATGGGAGTGGGTTTCGGGTGGGCTGTCGGCGGGACGTAAGGCTCGCAAGCCAGTGTGCAGAAGCCCGCCGCAGCCGCCGTCGTTGTTGTTGCTGTTGTTGTTGTTGTTGTTGTTGTTGGTGGTAGCGGTGTTTGCGTTGGTGTTGGTGTTGGTGTTGGTGTTGGTGTTGGTGTGTTGTTGTTGCTGCTGTTGTTGATGTTGTTGTTGTTGTTGCTGTTGCTGCTGTTGCTGTTGTTGTTGGTATTGGTGCTGGTGATATTGTTGTTATTATTGTTGGTGTTGTTGCTGTTGTTGTTGTGGTTGTTGTTGTTGATGGTGTTGTTGTTGTTGGTGGTGGTGGCGTTGCTCGTAGCAACCTACGTCCCGGCCCTAGGTGTTGTTGAGATGTTGTTCCTCCTTGGAAAATGGAGCAGGCAGCTTTAAGTGTATGGACGGGGTTCGGGGGCGCGGGTTAGTCATACGGGGCCAGGAGGGGCGTATGCACGGGGGCGGAGTCCCCGACGAGGCGCCCCGGGGCCGCGTGAGGCGTTGGCGCACAGGGAGAGCAGGTGACCAACAAATCCGGAAGAGTCGGTGCGATTTTCGTGGATTATGATAAGGCTGGGGCCCCTGAGCAGGCACCCCGGGGCCGGGTGAGGCGTAGGCGTGTGGGGCGCGCGGGCGACACAACAAATCTTGAGACATCCACAAGGCCTCAAATAGTGCAGGGAGTTCTCAGGAGTCTTCAGGAGCCCACAAGGATCTCTCAGGAGCCCTTAGAAGGCCCCAGGGATTCCGCAGGACCCCGACGGTTCCGCATGAGTCCTGGGGAGGGAGTACTCAGGGCGTTTCAGGAGTCGCGAGGAGTTCAGGGATCCTTCAGGATTCCAGAGGAGTCTTCAGGGGTTCTCCAGGACCCTGTAGAAGTTTTCAGGAGCCCAGGGTAGTTGTCAAGGATTCGTCAGGATCCCCGCGGGTTCTTCAGGGATTTCTCAGGAGTCCTGAGGAGTCCTCACGGTTTCCTCAGGATTACTTTGGTCCTTGCGGGTTCCCCAGGAGCCCCTGGGTCTCCTCAGGAGCCCTGCGGAACCCTCACAGGATTCCTGCGGAAACCCCAGGTATTTTTAAATGATTCCTCGGGATTCTTGAGGACCCCTCCGGTTTCTTGTAGAACCCTGAGGAGCCTTGAGTCCGCAGGGACTTTTCAGGGATCCCGCATGCTCCTTTCGGATCCCCACAGGGGTCTTGTGGGATCCCTCAGGGAGTCCTCAGGATCCCTATGGATTCCCGAGGGGTCCTGGGGATTCCTGACGACATCTGACGGATTCCTCAGGATTCTCAGCAGGCGAGTCTTCTGGATGCTCAGGGACTCTTCAGGATGCTGCAGGGACCCCACAGATTTTTTTAGGACTCCTCAGGATCCCTCAGGGATCCTACGGGGTCCTTAAGGATTCATCAGGTTCTCTTGAGGAACCTTGAAGGATTCCTGAGTTTCCCCAAGGATCCC